CCAATCTGAAAGAGATTCATAAAAATTTTAAAAATGGTTTATATTTGTAGCTGTTCCGTAGAATAGAAAGAATAGAATGAGGGCAATTGGAGCTTGCTGCAGTTGGCATCCTAGGGGGATGATTAAGGCTAAGGGGATGATTAAGGTACAGATTTTTGTTTGATCATTTTACTGTTTTATGCTTTTATGGTTGTTTTATGGTTGCTGGTTTTACTGCTGTTGTGGGTGGCCATATAAACCTTTTAAACAGACAAACAAACAAACAAATAAATAACTTTGCTTTACCGAGGAAAATTCAAGAGCAAAACCAAGAAAATAATTAAATTAAATAAATCAAAGGGACAGGTTTCTAGAATAAAGGACTATCCTTTATAATAAAAATGCATGGTCATTGTAGCTATCCTGCATACCACTCCGGGCCCTTTTAATTTGCCCTCCTGTGCCTGACATCTCCTGTTAATGGCTGCAACCATGAACTTCACAACCACTTACATCGGAAACCCCTCTGGTGCTTAGTCAAGCCTGAACGCAACTACAACCTGATCCAAAGAGGTCCCTGTAGCCACCCTGGAATTCTCCAGGAGACGATGTGATTGCCAAACAGCAGCTGAGAATTGCAACATTTTACTTCCCCATTCCTTACAATCAGCCTTCTATTTCATCATGCCTCATAATTCCCAGCAACTAGCCCTGATCTTGAATAGAATGGATTTTCATTTGCATTGCAACGGTACGTGAGTTGGTTCCTCAGCTTTTCCTTGCTTTGAAACAATACTCTTACAGGTAGTCCTCACTTAGCAACCGTTTGAAGTTATGAGGGTGCTGGATGAGTGGGACTTACGACAGGTCCTTGGAGTTGCGGCTGTTGAAGTGTCCCTGCAGTCAAGTAACCACGATCTGGGTGCTTGGCAACTGGCCTGCATTTATGACAGTTGCAGCATCCTGGGGTCACATGGTCGCCATTTGCAACCTTCCCAGCCTGCTTCCCAGAAGCAATGTCAACGGGGAAGGTGGCAAGAAGTTGCAAGTCACAGTCACATGATATCGTGCTTAACGACCATGCAGGATTCACTTAACAATGGCAACCAGAAGTGCCGGAATTGCTGTCACTAAGCAGCACAGTAATGTGACGTCACACTTTACAACTGCATCGCTTAGTGACAGAGTGGCTGGTCCCAATTACCATTGCTAGGCCGTATTTAGACCTGTAACACTGGAATGCTTGGAGTTAAGTGGGTTCACATCTACATTTCCCAGGAGAACAGAAGCACCAGCCTTACCTGCAGCAGCTGAATGGTCATGGCGCAGCTATTCAATTTCTTCAGCAGGTCAAGGGCTCCTTCCTAAGAGAGGGGAGTGGGCAGAAAGAGCACAGGAGGCATCATATAGACTTAATTTTCTGTCTTTCTCTCTTTTTCACTCAGGGCAAGTCCTTTTAATGTTCCAAGGGAGCAGAAAGTTCCAGCCTCTGAAGCCAGGAGAGGTTGCGAATGCTCTCGCAAAACGCCATCTTGAGTGCAGCCAGACCCGAAGCGTTCACTTATAGAAGTTGCCCTCCAGCATCTTCTCTCTCTCCTCCCTCTCCCCAGTATTTTCTCCTACACCTGCTTATCTTGATCTTTCAGCCCCCTGCCTCCTTCCCAACCCTTTCGTTTTCTCAGTATTTTCTAAGTATTTCCCCTCGGCTTCTCTCAGGCTCAGACGCCTGGTTGCAAACGCAGGAGGTTCGGGCCTTGCATCAGAATGTGCCAACTTCTCAATCATCAGTTTCTCTTCATTAAAACAATAAAAGCACAACGGCTAACTGGACTTCCCAGCACTGCTCTCCTTCTGCCACCCAGATGCAAATGGCAGGCAAGCAAGGATTTCCTTGTCTTCCTGTCTGGGGAGGCTCCCCTGCAGAGCTGAACATCGGCAAGCGAGAAACTCAGCAGGTCGCAAGGACAGAGGCAGAGATCTGGATTTCAGCTCAGTGGTGCCCCTAATGGTGGTGGTGGAAAACTCCTTTTCCCTCACTCATATTGGCCCTGGAATGGATTGGTTCAAGACCCGCTCCATCACCAAAACAGATCCTGATACCCTTTCTCAGGCCTGCTCGTAACATCTGTCTCAGCAGCAGCATCCCCCATTGGAATGCCTTCAAAGGCCAAAGAGAAACCCAATATATAAAAACTCAACTTTGCCATCTGTCTCTCGCCCAGATTCGATTCACTGCCATTGCCAATCTTCTACTCATTTTGAAAGCCAGGGAAGAGCAGAAATGGGGGGGGCGGGGGCGGTAAAGAGTCAGAAATAAAAAACATATGCTTGCTTTTCTTGTTGTCTTCATGCTGTGTTGTATGAATATCAGAAACGGAAGGGACATTAGACTGGGCCATTTAAATCATAATTGTCTATTCTAGAGATAATTTCCTCAGCTAAAGGCCACAGATTATTATTTATTTATACATACCTCTGTACGTCACCCACTCCACAGATTCCAGGTAGCTTACAATAAAACCGTTAAAACATCAAGACACAAAATATTCAATACATCATGTACTGGCTAATTATACCTCCCTGGTGTCTATTTTTCCTAGACACCAAGAAATTCCAAGGCTGTAGACTGGCTTGGGAAGTCAAAAACTAGGCTGGAAGAAGGCAGTGGCACCTTATTTCCGTATTATTGACAGGAAAACAATAGGCACGTGTCCATGGAATCACCAAGAGCCAAGCTTGACTCCAGGAGATTTTACTTTTTTTTGAAGCAAAATGAAATGAAAAAACATTGACAACACTGCAGCTCTCTCAAGGTCAACTGATGGTTGCTTAATACTAAAGAAAGTTAATGGCCTGACCACCCAGGCTGGCCTTCCCCAAATCAGGAAAACCTCCTTTCTAACCCTGCTCCAGCACAGGACTTTCATTGTGGGAGGAACACTGCCAGCTGTCTACCTTGAGAGTTGAAGGAGATCTAGGAAAATAAGATTTACAGGGAAAAGTTGTTTGTAATCCACCCATGCTAGAACAAAGTTTGCAAGGGGAGTCAAACATTAACTTCAAGGTACAATCTTGCTGCTGAGCGCTCAGCACTTTTCATGCTTACATTTCTGGGATTTATAAGGCTAAAGCCTCTGATCCTAACAAAATGTACTACTTCTATTGACATGAAAGAGCAAAATATATCTTTCAGTTTTGATCTGCTTCTGGGATAAATAACGATAACCAACAGGGGATAAGGATGACAGTAAAGCAAACATGATTCCCATTTCTGAAACATGCCCCATTAAGTCACTAGCCTTTTCACCCATTTTTAATACAGGGCCCTTATCAGGGACACCATTGCTGGTAGATGCCCCTTTGTAAGGACTACAAAACCTTACAAGTGGACAAGGAGTTCTTGTTCTGCTCAACTGCCAGAGTATCAATTTAGTCTCTACTTTTTGCTTCCAGTTTCAAGACATGTCTTTTTAATTGAACCTCTGAAAATGCTCAGTACTGAGCATTTTAAGTGTAATGTAAGACATCTTCCCAGTTTAATGTATTATATGGATTATATAGTTCTTCTAAATTTCTGCACATCACCCTAGTGGTTCTGTTAGGTCTGGAGTAGGTACCAGAGGCCAAGGAACACACTTTGGGGGGGAAGGGGGGAGGCTGGCCACCAAGTGAGAAGGACCACGTTCTACATATAGGGGAGAGTTGATGTTCTGGGGAGGAATTGGGATTTGTTTTTTAAGTGTAATTTGTCTATTTTAGGGCGCTTTTTTTCATATGAAAATGGAAGAAACTGTCTTGGGTTTTCAACAATCATGACTAGTGGGAGTTCTGAAGAGTCCAAAAAGGAAACTTGAGGGCCATGTACAGCCCTTAGGCTACAATTGGTTTACCCCTAGATTAGGCAATAATAACAACAATATCAATATCAGCAACAAAGTAGCCACACCCATTGTGAACAGAGGTTGGCCAGTTGTAGAAGAGAATAAGGTTTCACCATCTTTTCAGGTTACATAGAAGGAATTTCACATTGCATTTATCCAGCAAGTGCCACTGCTGGAATTTGCAACTCTTAATGCTCAGGAACTCTGTCCTGCCTGGGTTTTTTTGCATCTGGCCACCTACCATTTTAGCAATCAGATTTCTAGAAGGCCAAAAAGACCCTTGGCTCACAAATTCAGCCAGCTTCCGGAGCCAAGGAGCTGCAGTAGCAAAAACGGGAGAGACCAAGCAAGCCCAGGAGAAAAGGTGTCCCAGCTATTCCACCACTTGTGGTGGTACCTTCCAGAAAGACAGCAGCAAACATGCCACAGTATTCAACTCAATGTGGTGATCAAGCCAGAGTTAAAGACTGAGTAGCAAAGGTCCAATTAAAAAGCTAACAACTCTTAAGAGTAACAGGTTCCAAATGAGTTTTTAGTCATTCGTAAGGGGGGGGAGGGGAAGGTAGAAGTTGGTGCAGCAATGTTCACAAGTTACAGTAAAAAAAAATCAAGGTGACAACCCAACAGGATGATCCAAGTTCCACCCATTTTTGTCCATTGAGTGGACCTTCAATTGCACCGTCATCTTGACTTTTTTGACAACACCCTGCAGTTCTATTAGTGTAGAACAGTGTCTCTCAACCTTGGCCACTTTAAGATGGGTGGACTTCAACTCCCAGAAATCCCCAGCCAGCTGCAGGGCATGATGGTAGAATATTTGCCAAGTTGAACACTGCCAATGGAAAAGTCTGCATGTAGCCAAGGTCTGGCAAGCAAAATTTGGTGAAGCTCAGGCATGTCCTATTGGATGAAAAGCAGGTCCACCTCCTGTTTGCTGGCTCAAATCAAAATAGATTTTGTGGCTTAATGATAAACCTCTAACATTTTGTACCCATCTCAACTGCCAAGAGTCTTTAGTTGAGTCCTTGAGTGCAATAAACCAATAATCTAGGTTAATGTTATAATTGTTAGTAAAGATCCACTCTACTAGTAGAAGTAGAAGGCCTTCTTCTGCTTCACAAGGGTTCCATTTGCCTGGCATCTTCCAAAATTTCAGGCTGGGTTGTGTCATGCTGGGTTTCAAAGATAGGGGTGTGGGCCACCCCACCTTACTGAAGGCAGATAGCGCACAGCCCCACTTTCCCTCCTCCCTCTGGTATTTCTACTTCTCCCAGATGGATCCCTGCCTTAGCAGCTCTGCGCAAAGATTAAATTTAAGATCACCAGCCTTTGCCAAGCACCTGTTCCCCAAAGCCTTCTCTTCCGGGAGCAGAAGGGTCACAGTCCGAAGGGCAACTGCAGCTTAGATATGATTTCTGCAGGAGTACATGCGGGGGAATGGGGGAAGAAGCAGATAAGCTAAGCAAAAGCCGGAACTGGAAGTAAGAAGAAGAGAAAGTAAGTAGAGGAGAGTAGCGCGATGGGGACTTCCTCAGCCAAGGTTACATGAATGCAACCCCCTCCCCTCCCCTCCCCTCCCCTGGTGCATTTTCCAAGATGCACGCCTCCTCGCCTTCTGAACCACTTGCGAAAGGCTCGCCCCTCGGAAGGGTGACCGAAAGTAGGAAGCGCTTGAAAAACAACAGCAGCAGTTTACACAAACTCCGATGCCCGCAAAAGCCCGCAGCTGTAAGCGCCTGCCCGCACTCAGCGGCGCAGCTAGGGCAAGAGAGGAAGACCGCGAAAGTGCAGCGTTAGCGACGAAGCCAACCCAGAAACAACACGTAGTACGAGTTTTCGCTTACCGTGTTCTTCCTGGACACCATCTTATCCAACTTTTTGGCCATCCGGATTAGCTCCTCCGCTTGCCCCATGGCTTCAGCCGTCTAAACCGAGTCCGCACGCTCTCCCCTCCGCCCAGGTCCAGAAATACGTGCTTTTATATGTATCGATCAGAGCCCAGCTCCGAGCTGACCCGCCGTTGGGTCTGTTTTCATGACACTTCTGGGTTTCAGGGTTCGGTGTGTTTATTTGGGGAGGAAAGGGAAAGTGCTTGTGGTATTAAAAGAAAAAGGGAAAGTTTTCGCGCTAACTACAAGTTTGACGGGGGGGGAAGAGAGAAAGCAGGAGAAAAGTGGGAGCGGCGACCCAAGGGCTTATAAACGACTGCCATGCAGTCGAAATAGCACCCTGGGACGAGCTAAATATAGAAGTCAAGGATCAAGTGGTGGAAAATTCGCAGGCTGGACGAGAAGGGCGGTGATTGAGACCACGTGCAAGGGGATGTTCTGGGCTCCACAGGGTGGGGTTAAAGCAGGGAGACCTTTCTGAGCAGCTACGACGACCAGCCCCAGGAGTTGGAAGGTGGGGAAAAGTGCCTGCAAAGCTGCCTTAAGATGCCATTGACACCCTAAAGGGTAGGACTTCAGGGTGACCTTCAAGCTCCCATTCCATGGAATGGGCACCACGGCCCTCCCCCCATCAGAAGGCGCTTCCCTGGCCCCATTCTGACGTAAGTTGTAGCCCGCTGTAGATGCCCAGGATTTGGAATCTGTCAAGGGAGCAAGAACTCTGGCTTGTGAGGGGTTTTTGCTGTTTTTTTCAGGCGTAGGTGTTAGCTCAAAGTGGTGTTATACAACTTTGGAAGGGAAATTGGGACCCGATTGGTAGAAATGGGTTGTTGATACACATTGACTGTCAACATTTGAATGAGGTATGTGGGGTGAGAAAGAGGAAGGGCAGACAGTTTCAAGCAATATTGTCCAAAGTTTGGAGTCATTTTGTTTATAACCTAATTTGACAGACCCTTTTCTCTTCAATTATTAAAGCTTTCATTAACTGTGCTGCATCTGTGTATACTTCTGCTAATTAGTTCAGCACAAAAATATACTTTTTTAAAGGGAGGTCATCAAGGCGTCTTTGAACTCCTGGTGACTGTAGAGACAAGTACTATCTTGACCTACTTTGGGCAGTAGCCTGTAGCTCTTTTGATCCCATCCATCCATCTTACCTGTCTTCTTCCCCTTTCTTGCCAAGCATAATCATTTTTTAGTCTATTATCCATTCACGTGGCAGACCCAAAGTTCATGAATTTTGGTTCATCACTTCAAGAGCGACATATCAATCTATGGTACTTTCAGTAATCAAATCTATATTCATTTGAGGGTATCTCTTCATCCTCTTGGAGCTCAACTTTTATAGCTGTACATTACCACTGAAAAGGCTCTCATTGAAATTGTTCTGATCTTCTTGTCATTGAAGGACCCTTACTCTTCATGATCTTGGCTCAGCTTGCGTTTCCTTTCCTCCCGAGAATTAATCTCTGACTTCTCCAGCACAGTTACCTTATCTATTCTTTTCCTGTTTCCACCAAAATGTTAAAAACAAAACTTGGTTTTAATGTTTGAAGACATTAAAAACAAGGGGAAACAATTCCCACCTCACGCTACGAACTTTTGGGCTCATTATTCCAGTGATATCATCACTTCACAGAAAATGCCCGAGGTGCTCAGAGACTTTAAGGAAAAAATGGGGCTCCTTGCCTTATTTCATTGGAGGATCACTTAGCTCAGAATTTACCCACCTTGACAATGGCTTTATAGAGAAATACGTAAACGAATTCTCAACCAATATGGTTCCTGGTTGGGAATTATGAGAGGTACACTGAAACCCATTAAGATGCTGCCAGAGCGGAAAGTATATTCCCCAAGAACTCAGACCATCCCGCTAAAAGCAAGGAATTTCCTACACCATACAAATGCACACTGAAGTTTCCAAACCTTTTTACCCAAGTGAGATCAATTTGTCAAGAGTAGTGGTGTTTCTTCCTGTTCGCAAAGCCTTCCGTTTCTTATAGTTTTACAATGGAAGAAGAAATTCCTCTCTAGTTACTTTGAAACACAGGTGGAGTTCAGAAATCTTTTTTTTTTTTATAAGAAAACAGTAATTTTAGGATCCAACAGAAGTCACTTTCTAGCTGATTCTGTGAATGAAGGAATGAACTGTATTTTTCAGCAGAGTCTACCACCCCTTTATCAGAGAAGAGACTGGCCAGACCCACCACTACTGTATCATCTGCAACCATAGTGTTCAGTTTGTTCATCACTCCTCATGTAACAGTCATGGCTGCTTTATCTTCTCAACACCCTTCCCCAGTTATCTTTCACCCTTCAAGGACAACACACCATTAACATCAACAGAACCTTCCAAAGCATCAGGCCTATAAGTTTTTTGAGCAGGAAGGGGAACACAAACCTAATAAATAATGCTACACCTTTTTTCAAGGTTTAAGGGTAATGTGAAAAACTGCAACAAGATGAAAATGCTACCAAGTCATGTTAATGTAAGGAGTCGTGTTTTGTATGCTTAAAAAAACAATATAGTGCTGCGTTATTTTACCCAGTGTATTTCTAGGTGTGGATGGAACCCTTGAGAGCTGTTGCCAGAATGGTGTCCTCAGGGCTGGATTGCTAGGAATAACCCCCCACCCCACCCACCCACAATTCAGCAAATTGGACAACAATCCTCCAGAGGAAGCCAAGTTACCAAATACCATTGCAAGAGAGGCCCGTGTCTTTGCCTACATCTCAGAGGAAATAAAAACTGTAAAGGAAAATATACCATCACTGTACCTGAAGCCAAGCTAGATGCTCCAAGAGATTGCACCTTCCTATGGTTCCTGCCTCTGTGGCTCCTGCCTCTAACGTCCTAATTCAGAATGTTAGTTCTACATCCTGTGATGGAGACTGTCTGGTTGGTTCACCCCATACCCTTTATCAGGTTGCATACAAACCTTGCAGATGCCCAAGTTAAGCTAGGTGTTACCTACGGATGTGCTGTGCTTCAGATCCAAAGGCAAAAAGATGCTACGGAGTGTGGAGGAGGAGGAGTCAGGACCTCAATTCAAACATGCCCATTCCTGAGATCGCATGCTGATCCTGTGAGCCCATGCAAGATGCAGTTTCTTTAAAGAGATGCCTATCCTAAAATACCTCTACAACGTCAAATCCCATGTGCTGCAGGGGCAGGGGCTGGTTTGTGACTTAGCACAAATCTAACCCCATTGGTTTATTGTTGAGTCTGTGTGTGAATCTGGAGAGGGACTTCATTTAGTAACCAGAGTAAGGAAGTGTGGGAACACAGGTTCTGAGGTCCTTCATCTGGAGAATGCCAGAAGATGACTTAGGGTCTTCTGAATGCAAAACAAACCATGTGCTCTGGAGTTATGGAGGACTTCTACCCAAACCTTCCTCAGCTGCCAACTTGGATATTTCCCCAGAGGTCTTGGTGTCCATCCTAGACATCTCTAGCACATGATGCCCAAATGCTATCAGCTCTTTCCTAAAAATATAAATCAGCCACATACACCTTTTCCAGGTAGAACTAAGGAGCTGTAAATAATTCCTGATTTCAAACAGTGTTTGTTGTTCTAAGACAGGGATATTTAAAAGCAATAAATCCAAATAGCAAAATAGATCAAATATCAATAATTAAAAGTGAGTTCTGCCCATTATGCAGTAAGCCCTCTCTAATCCTGTGATTTTTCATGAAAATTGGGAACGTGGCAGGAAGGGCGTGGATGGACACACACACCCCACCACTGCTACCATGAACAAACGCCAGAATCCCATACTCCACCAAGGAAGAATTTCAGACAAGTTCTCTTCATCTCTGAAAGACATTTTGAAAGCACATTTTCTTTCCAGTTCCTACCAGACTGCAGTACCTTTCAGAGGCTAGTTACTAACAAGAACATCTCTGCAAAGGTGATGTGTGATCTTAAAAGGATGAGCCTAAGAGCTGCTATAGTGGGGTATTACTAGGGGAAGTCGTCTTACCTTCGTAGATGTGGTTTGCCACCTGTAATTTTAGAAATAAAGTGCTTTTTTAAAAGGGAACTTCTCTGATTCAAGCTTGTCTCCTAGTGACTTCGTGGACTTGTCCGTATAATTTTCTTGGCAACAAGATTGAAGTGGTTTGCCATTCTCTTCTTCCAGGCCATTTTTTTTCTTTTCAATTGCACATCCAGCCTACCACCCTGGAGGTCTCCCATTCAAGTATTAACCTGGCCTGCCCTGCTTAGCTTCCAAGCCCAGAAAAGATCAACCACATGTCATTACCTGCTAAGATGAAACTGGTTTAGTTAACCACATATTTTAATGAGTCAACACAGGCAAACTATTGCCCCCAGGCACAAGGGATTAAAACAACCTAAGATCTCTAAATCCCTACTTAAATCCCTGACCACATTTAATCTGTGCTAGGCTGAAGATGATGGACCTAAACTCCTAAATGTTGGGAGACTATCATGTTATATATCTCTGTTCTAAACAGTTAACTATAGTCGTAATTTTGAGCAACCTTATCTAGGAGAAGCAATGAATATAGGAAGCTTCACTTCTGATACACAGAGTTGCACAGTTACAATATTGTCTCCAGGCATATTTATGTAGGGATAAGGGCTATCCATGATACAAGCACAAGGACACATTTCACTCAGCCTGAAGATGTAGACATCCTGTTGTGGGCTGCAGCTCCATTACTACCATCACAACATTGGAGGCTAAATTGCACATCATGCTTGAGTATATTTATTGCTTTTTCCCCTCAAAGTTGCTGAAGCTAGTCAGAAGTCATATGAAAGCGACGCTTATGCTATCTGAAAAATGAGCTGCTACCCCAGACTGTTCTGTGGAAGAGAAAGAATCTGATAGAATGGTTAAAACAGGGCTTTCGTTTTCAAGACAAATGTGTGCTTTCAAATGTGCCATGCTCTTGTCAAAAGTTCCATCCCTGAAATTCCATAAGCATATTAGCTGGAGACAAGAAATTAATTGAATTCTATAATAGGCAGGAACATTGATCCCAAAGACCGTGAGAACCAATGCTGCTCGTAGAAGTTACAGACTCTCAACATGGATGAATATCTAGTTCCATCACATGCAACACCAAGGCCATCTTTGACAGTGTATTCAAATCACAAATATAATCAGGGCTACACAATACATGCAGTACAGCCATCAGTCCTATAAGCAGAAGTCTTCTGCACCCAGAATTAATCCTTAATATATTTGAAAAAAATCCCAGAATCCCAGATATATGATTAGGAGGTGAGTTCACTTCCCACTCATGAGGTTTAGGAAGAAATGGAATACCAAAAAAGAGAAAGTTGCCTGTTTATTTAAAAATCTTGCCAAGAACTACCATTTCCTTCTTACATTCTCATTCCTCTTTGCTTAAGAGGACTAGTCACCAATGTTTTAAAGAAACTAAAACTTTAGGTAAACAAACTGAAAAACCCAAGCCAGGTTTTGTTACATATACATTTGTACACAGACACACCTCTGCCTTTCAGCATTAAAATATTGCTTCGTGATTCCTTCTACCTATTATTAGTATCCGCAAATGCATTTCTATAGGTTTTCATTTTTTGCTTGAAAATGGACCTGAACTGCTAGACTTTTCCATTTCAGTTATTCACAGGTCCTGGAGAAAATGGGGATTAAATGGCACTGTTCTTAAGGCATGGCTTTTATCAGTCTAATTTTCTGTCCACCCCATATGTTCCTGTTTACTGTTTATCCAGGGAGACTGAAGGAACTCCATTTGTTGCCACTGCTAAAAAAAATAAAATTTTAACATCATGTTTATTGAGATCATGTTATACCTTGGGTTCAGCTTCTTTGTGTTTTAAAATCAGCAAGCATTTGCTGGGTGTCATACTCAGCTTTCTCTCTCTCTCTCTTTTTTAATTTTGCAAATTTCAAATAAACCTACAGGCTGCCTCGTTTTGCACAAGACCTGACGTTGAAAGGTTCACACAGTAGTGAATGAAAAGGAACTATATGGAGGATGAAATTCTGATTCTTTAAAACTGGTCAAACCAGATTGGAAAAATCTGAGAGACAAAGAGATTTAACCTCTAAAGGGGCAGGCGCTAGAAATTCTTCATGACCAGATTGGCAGTTTGCATGATGTAAGTCTGCTTACATTCCAATAAGTTTGGTTAACATCTAAAGCTTTGGGACAGCTGCACATGTTCAAAACTAACATTTGAAGTGGCATACATACATGTGTTTGTGGTTACTAGCATCCTTATTTTAAAAAACACAAAGACTTTAAAAAAAAATTGAAGTCTTACTCTAGTGATGGCACTGGAGTTTGGGTTATCGTGCGTGCCAGATGGTTATCTTTTCACAGCTGGATTTTCTCTGTTGGATTTTTCACTTAACCAAAACTCTCACACCATCCCCTTGAACATAGGGAGAGTTCGGGAAAAGTTGAAGTTCTATGAAGCTGAGCCTATTGCATGAAAAAGACTCAATTCAAATGAAATGGGTTGCATTTCACTCCCAGTGAATTCAGAGGGAATCCAGTCAGGGCCCAGCTTGTCCCATGCATTTCACGGAAACCTACATTCAGTTTATTTAGTCCAGATCCAACCATTATTGTCCTAACAATGATGATGAACCCTGGGATAGCAGTGCTTTTTAAAATATCCATACATCCTTGAGAGTCCATTGAAATATTTCAAAATTTCTACATATTGAAAACTGAGGACTGCAAACAAGCTTGAAGTGGTGACCCAAAGATTTTTTGCAGATTTCTAAAATGGCCCCTTGTCCCTTTCAGACACTAGTCTTGCCTCCACCATTTTTAAAACAATTTTGCACAGCAGGAATTTTTACCCAACAAGGCTTTTTGGTTTTTTCTTTTAAATGAAGTTGTTAAAGGGGATGCTGTCCTAGAAGCAGGACAAATTCTGATAAAACAAGAATTGACTCTGTTGAGTAGAGATCAGTTTGACTTAAGAATAACAAGATCAGCCAGACTGAAACAAAATCCAGAATCTTCTACAGTATTGCAGAGAGGCAGATATTCTGCAGTAGATGAATTAATTCCCCAAGGACAAAACATGAAGGTGACTCATACAATTGGAGCAGGAATTACAGTGGCCCTGCCCCCCTCCCAAGGCTTCCCAAACAATCTTCAGCATTGATTCCCTGCATTTTTGTTTTCAAAACTGCTTTCTAAATACGTCTGCTCCCTCATGGCTGTTGACATTATGGAAACTGAGATTGGTATAAAATCAAATGTTGCACTGGGGAACTTGGATCCATTCCTCAACTCCTCAAAGTAGGCACAGAACAATCTGAATTAGACCAAATGGAGAAAAGAGATGGTTTTGTAGTGGAGCCTCTACATTACACAATGAATGTGATATACGATCCCCCTCAGTTAAAAGAATGAAAAGTAGTCCATCAAGCCGTATTGACATATATGTCTTTTATCCATTGCCCTTCCCCTTTCTGCCTATTAAAAAGAGCCTCAAAAGCCAGATTCCACAGTTTCTTCCCAGCAACTCTATCATGGAGCTGAATAAGGAGATGGCATCGCATGAAGAGCAGGCTCGATGGAGATCTAGCAAGCTTGCACACCCTGTCCCCCTACAGAGCAGATAATGCTGGCTCATCTTTTCAGAGAAGACTAGACACTTGGTCCCATCAGTCTTGCAGTGGGTGGACAAAGTTGGAGGGAAAGACGCCTGTCCTTGTGCCATCACCTTCAATGAATCCAACCTGGAAGGAAAACACCCCATGAGTGAGAAACTAAAAACAAAGAGGAGTATCATATCATGCTCCAAACCCTGTTTCTTCCCATGGGAAAAAGACAAGAACTGGAAGGGAAACAATCCTGCCTTCTTAGATCTGCAGCTATGTAGGAATTCTGTTCGATCCTTTTGGAACAAAGAGAACAAGAGGGAAAAAGCAGGTGGTATCAAAGACATCACCACTTCCAAACAGGATTGTGCATTTCAGTTCTCGGTTGCTCCAACCTCAGGGAGATTTCGTTCTGCCCTCTTGGTTCATTTATTATTCAGTTCACTTTTTCCAAGCTGGCACCTTCTAGTTACATTGGGAGTTTTAGTCCCAACACATCTGGAAGGCACCAGATTAGGACTGGTTGATCAAAGCCTGGTGAAAAATGCTGAAGAATGCAAAAGCTGGCAGGTTATTTTCTGATGTTTTCATTTGCCTAGTAAAATAACGGCTCTAGTGCAGACCCCTAAACGAGAATTTCACAATCAGGAAGCTTGGTCATCTATTGTCAGTCCCTCTAGGTCAGTGTTTCTCAACCTTGGCAACTTTAAGAGGTGGGGACTTCAACTCCCAGAATTCCCCAGCCGGCTGGGGAAT